CATTTCCTTCGCTCCTCCATTTTACTCATCATCTCCTGTGTAACCCATGGTTTTCTTGCTATATTCTCAAATTTACCAACCAATTCACTGATAGTATCTAACATGCATTCTTTTATATTGTTCCACTGCACTTCAGCATTTCCTTTTTCACTTTCAATTGCCCTAAGTTGTTCTTCTAGGGTCTCCTGCACGCTTTGTCTTTGAGCATATAACTTCTCCAAATCCCATCTATGTCTGCGCTTTTGGAATCTTATAATTTTCTTCAACCTGGTTTGAAACTTGCCAACCAGTAAGTTGTGGTCAGAGTCAATATCTGCCCCAGGCATCGTCTTCACATCCTTCACACTGTTTCCAAATCGATGTTTCACAAGGATGTAGTCCAGCTGATGCCACCTCCAATCCCCAGGTGCCTTCCATGTGTAAAGTCTTCTCTTTGGCTTCTTGAACCAAGTGTTGGTAACAATCAGTCCATTTCTTTCACAAAAGTCAATAAGCATTTGACACCTGTGATTCCATCTTCCTAGTCCACGTGATCCAACAATATTCTGATACTATTCATCTCCAACAATGCTATTCAAGTCTCCTAATATGATGCTGTTTGTGTCACCTCTTCCATCTTCCTGAAGAATTTCTTCAGTTGTGTCATATACTTTTTCCACTTCATCATTTTCATACTCTGATGTTGGCATGTACACTTGCATAATCAGTATATCTACCGGTTCCGCCTTTAACTTCAGAGCAATAATTCTGTCATTACAAGCAATCTTCTTAACAACACTCCTCACTACACTTTTATGCACCACTATTGCCACACCTCTTTCAGCCCGTTCACCTCCAGAATAATACACTGTATAATCACCACTTTGTTTTCAAATTCTCCAATTTGCCTGCTTGATTCAAGGTCCTAACGTTCCATGTTCTAATCTTGTAGCCGTGATGTTCCTTCTGATCTTCGCACTTTTTCTTGTTGTAATGCCTGCATGACATTTCCTCTAGAAACACTCCCCCCCCGGAGATCCGATTGGGGCAATAGTTTACCTCCGGATTGTTTTGTCTCCAGAGGAAACACCTCGCATACATGGTGTCTCTGTTTTTGGAAAGAGACTATCCAGGAAAAGTGATAATGTGGTAGTTTTTCCATTTGCTTTCCACATCACAGTACAACAGCCGTTCAAACCACTCTGGTCACGCCTGTTGCTATACGAACTTGAACCATCTCGAGCATCATTTGCTTTGTGCTTCAAGTCGCTGCTGATGACGCTGCATCCGGTCTCAGTTTTTGGTTTTTGGTGTCTCTTCGTCTGATGCCTACCCTTTGACCTGTCCAACAAAGGAGGTCCTGCCAGTCGCTACGCTAGCACTGCTATAGCTCTCAAACCCCCTCACCACGATAAGGCGGAGACACCAATGAGGGGGGATGAAATATATCTTTCCTTTTTATTGTATATATTTTGAACTGCAGCAAATAGTTGAGAATTCCTTTCTGAATTCAGCATACAATCAGAAAACTTGTTTACATTTGTGCAAAAGTAAAGTCAGTTGTTAGTGCAGTGTAACATGATATTTTTCAAGAGGAAATTCACTTCAAAAATTTCTGTCATGTGCTCACATAATTTTGCTTGTAAATGTAACATCTGCAAGGTAAAGCACACTGTTCATACCTTATCTACTTGATTCAGTAATTTTGAATGGTTTTATACATGTTTTAAAGTAGTCTTTTTTTTTACAAAAAATAATATGCTGTTTACAGACAAAAAAGTTCACTTGGGAAGGGTTAAGTCAAGGCTGTCACATGTATACACTGTATTGTGAATTATGAATGATTTTGCAGGATGTTTGAACCTCTCCCTGTCCAGATTCACAATCTGGGTGAAGCTCCGCAGTCAGAGTACAAGTTAGTTCCTAGTACAGCATGTTTGTCTGATTCTTTCAACAACATAATTTCTTCCTTGAGGTATGTTTAAAGTCTCTTGCATGGGACTTTGGTCTGTTTCCATAATTGTTGTAGTCACATTATGCAGTGGAGGGTGTTGAGACCTTCATAATAACACTAGACTGCCCCAAAGAGAATCGTTTTCCAAATATCAGATGTCTGCTGGTGTCAGTTTTCTTGCTTCACATCTGCACAGAATAGGAGATTTCAAAACCCTTTCTGCACATTTTGCAATGAAAGCATAAAAATTAAATTTAAATATACAAATACCTGTCCAGATAACTGGTTTCAAGTTTTGTGGCTTGAATAAGATCTAAAATTTTGTGACTGTGGTACATTGGTACAAATATCATGTTTCTAGAGGTTGTGGATTGAAATTTAGAAGCTTCTGATACTTTATTTCTGTTGCATTTTTAGTACCTGTTGTCATATTTTTTAAATTTTTGCATTGCTAGTGTATTTATCATGGTCAGTGACATTTTTATCAAGAACTTGCTGCATTGCATGTAAAAAGAAAACAAAAATACATTGATTTTAGAAAGACTTGTGATTCATCAGTAGGTAACACAATTTTCACTTGTACAGGGCTCGTCATGAAGAGAGTTCAGATGCGTCTTTAGTATGTAACATCCAGAGGGCTTTGCAGGAGTACTTGCGGAATCTTATAAATGAAGTAGAGTTGTCTGAAAGAAGGATAGCCGAGCTGGAGAGAGAAGTTGACTCTCTTAGAATGCAACCAGGACCAATTTCTAATGGTATGTGTGTGTGTGTATATATATATATATATATTTTTTTGTGGATAGAGGGAGTGAAAACATTATTTTATCCTAACATCCACCACACCATCTTTGAAGCTGCAAAATACAGCTTGAACTTTGGTCAGCTCCACACATTCATTCCTACACAACAGATACTTCACAGATAATTCACAGTTACTGCCAGTATATTGTTTGCCTTCCACACCTACAAGTCTTGTTGCATGCAGATCTTGGATGTAGTTCATTGTTTGAGGTATATTTAATAAACATAATGTTTTGGGTGTTGATCCAGTTCCAGTACAATTATTGATTTATGGAGCAATTTTTCCTGGTGTTCTAACTACGAGGGGCGTTCAAGTTCTAAGGTCTCCGATTTTTTTTCTCAGGACTGGGAGCAGATAGACACATGCGGTTTAGTTTAAAATACGTGTGCACTCTTTGTGAATGCGTGACAGAGATGGCAGCATTCTACGGCACACAGAACTCTAGTGGTAGCAGCAAGAGTGAGGAGTGTTTTTGATACTTAAAATGGCGACGTTTTCGTTACAAGAACAGTGAGTAATCATTCGTTTTCTCCACTTGCGTTGTGCGACACCCATTGAAATTCATCGCCAGTTGAGTGAGACGTGTGGAGATGGTGTCATGAATGTGAAAGATATGCGCTCGTGGGTGCGACAGTTCAAAGAAGGCCGAACGTCGTGTGACAACGAACCAAAACAATCTCGGCCTCGCACCAGCCGGTCTGACAACATGGTCGAGCGAGTTGAGAAAGTTGTTTTGGAGGATCGCCGATTGAGTGTGGAAAACATCGCCTCCAAAGTTGGCATTTGCATGGGATCTGCACAAAATCCTGCATGAAGATCTGCGAATGCGGAAAGTGTCCTCCAGGTGGGTTCCACGAATTTTGGCGGATGACCACAAGGCTGCACGCATGGCAATGATGAAGGCATGAATGGTACTTTCTTTTCATCAACTGTGACAATGGATGAGACATGGATGCCGTTTTTCAATCCGCTATTGCATCAGCAATTTTCCAGTGGTCAAAACAGACTCCTACAGAAGCGTTCGCAGCGGCCATGCAATCATGGCGTCGACATTGTGAAAAGTGTGTACGGCTGTAGGGAGATTACGTTGAAAAGTGACAGAAGTTTCAAATTTTTTATATGATTATTGTGTGAGAAAAAATCGGAGACCTTAGAACTTGAACACACAACGTACTTACCAACTTGAAGACAGTTCTCTGTTCATTTGTTACTTGAGGGCAACACTACTGCTCTCTCTCTCACTGCATTCACCCTTTCTTTCACTTCTCTCCATGAACTGAGCTGAAAACTGACTAACTAGCTAATTGGGTCACTAATTAGCTGCCTCACTAACAGACTGCAGTAGCTAACTGAACACTGACTCACTTATGACTCATTTGCATTCTCTGCACTGAATTCACTAATTTCTTCTCTGCTGTGCATTGCCCTGAACCAAGCTGGGCTCTTGCCAAGAGAGCAGAGTAGTAATTTGCTGCTGGACTTTGCCAGCACAGTTGTTCTTAATTTTGGGCCCTGTTGGGACCCATGACCACATTTTTGTTTGTTCCAAGTCCACTTAATATGTTTAGAAATGGGGCCACCTCTTTGACAGGAGGAGGGGTCTGACCAGTCACTCACTCTGGGTTTTTGCAAGAACTTGACAGCTGCTTTATAGGCATGTAACACATCAGGAAGTTTCTTGCAAGTTTTCAGCTGATCTCAATGATGGTTACAAGCAGTGGCTTGTCCCCCATCCATCGTTCATCCATCATTGCTCCTCTTGGCTACCACATTGAGTGTGAAACAAGGGGCTGAGGGTGGTGATGCTAGTAGCCCTCTCATTTTGCTGGCTTTTGCATGCTTCCTGAGTCATGATTGGCGTGCTCTGGGTTGCCCTTCTTATCAAGTCTCTCTCCAGGAGGTTTCAGTGTTTCAAATGAGAGGTGTGTGTAGGCCAGGGCGTATGACCCTGCCATGTCCCACTCCGGCAGCAATATTAAATATACCACATACTATGGACAGCATTGAACATTATTATAGTGTAGTGACAGTCATTTTCACAGAAGTTTAAAGAATTGTAAAGTGAAAAACGTTAAATATTGTAACGTGTCTGGAGTAGATACGTCCATGGTAACGCAATAACAGTGGGCTGTTGCGTAGGAATTGCAGAAACAATGAACGCGTTTCCCCGGAGATGAACAACAGAAGGCCCTTGAGTAACAACAGATGAGACGAAGCTTGTTACCAGCGTATAAAGAGCGTTCCCGAAGTAATGGATTGCTGAACACGTGAGATTGAACCTTGGCGAGGGGTGTCCTCTACTGAGTCCGCTGAATACCTACATAAGCCAAGAGCCACAGACAGCAACAACACAGTTGGAACCCAGTCGCCATACAGCACAGTTGGAACCTAGATGCCGAGAGTATTAGAGAACCGAGAATTGAGTATTGAGACAGAAGCCAGGTGATACTACAAATGATAATAATTGTAAAGAGTGTAAGAGTGAGTATCCAATAAAGATTCACTAAATCCGAGACCCACATGAAGTTATTTGTTGCGTGACATACCCAACACATGACAACTGGTGTTAGAAGCGGGCTCAGTTTGGATTCTGAGATGAATTTAAAAGATTGGACTTACACACGTGACTGACAAGGTCGAACTTGAAAACACAACGTGAAAAAAAATGGAGTCACAGCAGATGTTGGAACTTCTGCTGATGAAGATGGAGACAGACGAAGAAGAATTCCTGGCTAAATTAGACGCCAACCAGGCCAAGGCAGAGGCAAAATTAGACGCCTATCAAGAAAAGGCGGAGATCTGCCTCAAAGAACTACTAGCCAAACTAGAGGATGACAGACATACCAATATGAAAGCATGGTGAGAAGAGATGGCCGCCATGACAGACAAATGGGGAAACGACAAACATGTAAAGACTGTGGCCTACCGAGAGATGAAGGCACATCGAGATGAGAGGAAGCTGACCTCACCGGACAGGAAACCTGAGGTGGCACAGAAAGAAGAGGTGCCCGTAGAAGACCCCGAAGTAATGCAGATTGGAGAACCGAAGAAGAAAAGGTGCAGGGACCAAAAACTGGCCATGGAGTGCTGCCGCCAGAAACCGAGGGATTCGATGTGGGAAAATTGTGGACCCCAGAAGAAATTGGCCGTCGCCCACAGAGTGACAACATGCTATGCAGAAGTGGCACGGAAAATGCAAATACACCAGAAGATGTCCCGCCGTGTAACAGTGGCACGACGCAAGAGAGACATCGTAAAGTCATACATTACCCAGGAAAAGTGTCACCCACGGAGAGAACTGGTCGCTTCTAGAACCAGGACAACCCACCGTGCAGGAGTGGCACGGGCCAAGGATAATGCTTTTGCGAAAGTTTGTGCCGGGGACAGTGTGGTACGAAGAACACAGAAAGGACGGACATTCGGAAGAGACAACGGGCGCAACCGCAGTGTAACAACAGGAACAAGAATCGAGCCCTGTAGAAAACTGACCGGAAAGGAGGCCACGAAGCGAATTACAAATTTCCTGTCCCACCACAAAACATCAAAAATTGGACACTGTGGAGGGGTCGATCCCCTCCAGGACCGAAGAAGGGAAATGGCCCGCATGGAAGGAACCGATAACGTAGAAGCACCAGCCTCCCTAGCAAGGATGAATGAAGAAAGAATGAAAGTGAAGAATGAATGTGAGACAATGGAACCAACAACCGCTGGATCTTGGAAGTGCTCAGGGCGAGCACTCTGGAAGAAGGGGGTTGGATGGAAGGAAGGCAAAACACTGAAGAAAAGATGGAGGAAACACGTGGAAAATGAACACCTTAGGAAACGAAACCAAGGATGCACTGTTAGGCTGTTCGGGATGAACAACCTTTAGAAGGGAGCAATGTAACGTGTCTGGAGTAGATACTTCCATGGTAACGCAATAACAGTGGGCCGTTGCGTATGAATTGCAGAAACAACAAACGCGTTTCCCCAGAGATGAACAACAGAAGGCCGTTGAGTAACAACGGATGAGACGAAACTCGTTACCAGCGTATAAAGAGCGTTCCTGAAGCAACGGATTGCTGAACATGTGAGATCGAACCTTGGCGAAGGGGGTGTCATCTTCTGAGTCCGCAGAACACCTACATAAGCTGAGAGCCACAGACAGCAACAACACAGTTGGAACCCAGTCGCCATGCAGCACAGTTGGAACCTAGATGCCGAGAGTATTAGAGAACTGAGAATTGAGTATTGAGACAGAAGCCAAGTGATACTACAAATGATAATAATTGTAAAGAGTGTAAGAGTGAGTATCCAATAAAGATTTGCTAAGTCCAAGACCCACGTGAAGTTATTTGTCGCATGACATACCCAACACATGACAATATATATGGTCTCTTCGTTATCAAACTCCACAATTAAAAGGTGGTTATTGTGTGCCTTTCTTTCATTTTACACACAGAGTCTCTGAATATTAACCCAGTTTGGTAAGTGGAGTTCGAGACTCTTGCTGAGGTACCTCCAAGTAGAATCGAACTTCAGAGAATGATAACACACTTTAGTTGTAGTCATTATTAATGTATATAAAATCACACTGTTGTCAATCTGTTGGTCACATTTTACAATTATGCAACCTTGGCACAATTTAAATTCTTTCCTCTCTGCTTTTCATGTATATACACAGTGTGTCCAGGTTTTGTTAGGACTGTGTTCATTAAAAATACAAGACGTGAATTATTTTCAAAATTTCACTCTTTTTATTCAAAACAGTCACTGTACTCCTTTTGTATAACTGCATTTAAAACTGTGGTACATTCCCTTTGGATGTCCTGGATGGTATCATGACGGTCTCCTTTCATCGCCAACTTAACTTTTTGGAACAACCAGAAATCTGCTGAAGCCAAATCTGGTGAATACGGAGGATGATCAAGGATTATGATCGCTTTTCTGGCCAAAAAAATTGCGCACAATCTTTGATTTGTGGGGTGGGGTATTGTCGTGGAGAAGTGACCAGGAAGCTTGCTCTCAATATTCAGGTCGAATTTGAAGAATTCTCGCCCACAAACGATTGAGGACTCCGAGATGATAATCACAATTCACTGTTTGACCTTCTGGTAGAAATTCCTTGTGAACGATTCCTTTGGAATTGAAGAAAACAACAGTGTCTTTACTCGACTTGTTTGCGTGCGCACTTTCTTTGGGCTCAACCACGCTGCACTCTGCTGCTTTGTGAGAGGCTCATATTGAAAACACCATCTCTTGTCACCAGTAACAATCGATTTTATACATTTTGTATCACTTTGGGCCGAATTTTTCATTGGCTGACAGCGCGTGCGATACAGACTGCGTACAGACCTTCTGTTTGCCCAAATCCTTGGTCAAAATTTGATGCACAGTACTTTTTAGTATTCCCAAAAGCTCCTTGATGAGTCTTGCAGAAACACATCTGTCTGATGCAAGGATTTCGGTCACTTTTTTCACATTTTCTTTAGTGCGACTTGTTCTCGGCTTTGATGCACATGGAGCATCTTCAGTGTCCTCCCTGCCGTCACGAAATACAGCATACCATCGAAAAATGTTCGAGTGAGTCAAACAATCACTACTGTACACACTCTTCATCATTTCGTATGCTTCTCTGGCTGTTTTGCCTAACTTCAAACAAAATTTGATGTTGGCTCTGTGTTCAACTGCCATTTTCCGAGGAGCGTCAGAACAGCACTGTTACATTCAAGGTCAGAACACATGATTCAGCAATGCTTGTGCTTTGAAATTATAGACAGCCACAGCTGAAACTTCAAGAATCTTAACGCCACAACTTGCCAACAGAGGCATTGCAGGGCAAAATTTAAAAAAGTGAGTCCTATTGGATCCTGGATACACCGTGTATATTCATGCAAATGATTAAAATGTAAGAATGACTAAGTGTCTCATTATGCTTATCTTTTGAATCAGTTATTGTGTGTCATATTTCCACTGTCATTCAAGTTGTTTAAGATACAGGTTTGGTAATTAGAAGGATCAATTTTGATCCTGGTTTGAGCCTCGCACAGACTAATATTGAAAATAAAGGTAATAAAAGGAATTGTCAGAGTCGTAACATCCAGCTGTCTGAAGGAGGAAGTAGAGGCATATCCTAAAATGTCATGCAGGTTAACTTATTTACCAGTTAATTGGCTGCATTGAGTAGAGTCTTTCTTGAGGAGCTAATTTCAGCTTGTCAAGAAATTGCCCATCTTTATAGGCCTCTTAATGCAGGCCACAACAAAATCATTTGGAAACAATTATAGGAAGCTTTCTCTGAATTTAAGCTCTTCTTAATTTCTTCTTTAATGCCATATTCATCTGTTACAGCTGTTCTCATATATGATATTCTGATTATGTCCTGCATTGTATTAATGAGCTGTTAGCATATGCTCACTTCTCTCTGTGTTTGCTCCCAGACCACCTCCTGACTAATATCTAGTAGGGCTTACGTATTTTTCTTCATGCTATGTGTTTTAGTCCAATAAATTATAATCAGCGATTATATATCAATTTCCAGTCCCTTATAATTTTCATGGACATTTCTAATGGCATATTCTAAAGTAAAGTTAAAACACAGTAGAATCTCCTTGTTTCAGACTATTTTGAATACAGTATATGTCAGATACTGTGTTACAGCATCAAGTTTTACAAGAAATACAGATAAGCATCATTATATAATCCCAGGAAAATAACATTACTGAAATTTTAAGTGTCTGGTGTAATCAAGAATTTACTTTTCCTTACAAGATATTAAATATACTTAGACAGTGGACATTGTCCAGAATTATTGCAGTATAATGAGCAAACCTTTTGAGAATTGACTTTTGCCATAATTGTTCGCATATGCGTTATGTGTCTGTCAACTATAATCCAAAACTCCAGCTACTGTATTAAACACCAGTCAGTTGTATTATTTCTTGTATCAGAATTCCACATTTTGAAATAAGTGTTCATGTACAATACCCATGTATGTAAGGAGAAGATTCCAGCATAAATTTAAGGAAGTTCGTTTTATTTTGAAGATGGCCGATTTTATAGTCTGTGATATACCACTGTCTTTTGTTATGTACTGGTGTGAAAATTAGTCTTCACTTTTTTAGAAGAACATAGACTGTCATTTCTAAAGGTTTCTGACAGTAAGGTATAATTCGTGGGATTACTGAATTTTTGGACTTTGTTCATTGTCTCATACTCTAAAGAACATAATGTTTTGAGAACTGGATGTTTCCATCCTAAGGTGAAAGGCTTCAGTAGAGCAGTGGATTTGAACACTAAACCAAGGAAAATCTTAAACAGAGGAAGTTTGATACTGAGATTATTGACTTGAATCATTGAAATCAAACATTAAAGGGGGTTTAACTATATTAGGTGAGCGTGGTATATAGCATCAATAAGAGAAATGAAAAATGCATACAAACTTTGGTCAGATAACCTGAAGGGAAGAGTCCCCTTCAGAGACCTAGACATCGATGAGAAGAAAGTATTAAAATGAATCTGAATTATTCTGGCTCAGGATAGGAACCAGTGGCAGGTTCTTTCGAACCTCTAGGTTCCATAATAGGTGGGCATTTGCTTGACTAACTGAAGAATTGTTGGCTTTTCAAGAAGACTACTCGCTGAACAGCTTGCTGCATTGATGTAACACACACTCTACTTGTAGTCCAAGGGTGCTTGGTTTGAATCTCAGCCAGGACATTGTCCTGACTTGAGTTTTTTTGTGGTTTTCCTCACTCCCTCCAGTATAATCTGGGATATTACCTCAATTATGCCATGACTGCTTGCTTCAGAATCCTTTCCTGTTCATCCATCTATCATCTTACAATGTGGCACTGTATAACTTAGCTACTGACAACCCTAAAATAACCCACAAGAACATAAAATACTGCTCTGTGGAGTTGATTACAGTGTACCACTGTTAAGTGTTACTTAGATTAATTATTAAAAATGTTGCAGAAATTCTACTGCCACAGATACTGCAAGAAGATGTATCCACTACAGGTAGCAATTACAGCAGTGTCAGTAGTACAGTTCCATCTCTATCAGGTGATGTGCTTGGTGCGGTACCTGCTAAAGCTACTAAAAGTCCAAGCAAACATCATGCTGCTGTTGAAAGCAACCACTTGAAAGTTGTGGCAAAGGAAGAGGTTGGTGACAATCATAATAATTCCTCTGATGCATTTGCATTTGTCACGGAGATGAAGATTCAGATGAGCCAGCCACACAGCCCAACATCAACACCTGTCGAGAACGCTTGTGTCAACAGCAGTAAACGTCTAGGTGAACGTGGGAGGGGAATTGGACGAGTTCGTAGATCTCCGCGGTCAAAAGCTCCAGATGTCATAGATAATTCCCCAAATTTCAGACATTCTTTGCAGTCTCAGGCATTGGACACTGCTGCTTCAACACCTGTACGGGGTGCCTTACAAAATATGAACAATGTAAACACAAAACCTCGTGGCTATGCACAGGCTGTAAAGAGAACAGGAGTTTCTGGTGATGGTGTGGTCATTAAATCACCAGCTGTGTCACAAGGAAGTCCATCAAAAGTGACCTCAGCAAATGGCTCAACTTCAAATTCAGATTCACAGAAATACTGATTTTCGGCTTGAGATGAAAATTTTGATACAGGTCACATCATTGTAGACCAATGTGAAAGTGTTACTGGGGAGCCACAGTGAAAGCGCTTAATCATATTCCATTTGTATATCAATGTTGGCCAGTGTTGAATCATAGCAGTCACAGCACACAATCTAATTAAAAGTAAGATTGCTCTTGTCTTAAAAACAGTAAGTATAATAATAATTTTCACCATTGATGAGCAATATTTTCATACCAACAATGGATATTTTCTTTGTATGTGTGTGGTTTAATAATAACAATGATATGGATGATAACAAGCATGTTACAATATAATTTAAAATCCAAAGAAGTTCTGTTATGAGACGACTCCTGATTACTAAAGTTTTACTTCTAGAGATCAGTGTTTGAATGTGTTTAATCCTGTGGCTGTTTACTTCTGCAAGCATTAGTCAGTCAATAATTACGTGTTCTGAATCATTGCTTATGAAAAAAATATTTATTTGTTGAATGTTTTTATGAAATCACATTACTTGCAGAACTGGGTGGCAGTATAAGAAACTGCTGTGGGCTGTCAAAATATGTTTATTGTAACAAAACTTCAATGTATTGAAAAGTGATAACATTTAAAATGTTATTATCAGCTTATACAAACAAATGAAATATACTTGACAAAACTTTTTGAGTAGAGTTGTATGGCTGATTGTACTGTCCCTCCCCAAAACCAAGAACACTGTTCTTCTCAGGCACCACTGTTGTTCTTTGGAGTCAGCTGATTCCCCTCTGTTTTTAAACACAACCATAAAATGTCTAAGAATGTTGGAAAAGCAGGGAGTTGATAATGTGTTTGTAGGTATGAATATTTTTGGAACAGATATAATGTACACGTCGGCCTGTTCTTGTCTTTCATTACTGTGAATTCTTAATGATCTACTCTCACAAGGATTGGCATAGTGCATGGTTTTAATCACAAATTACTGACTCCCCTTCCTTTGAACATATAATTTAAGTGATACATTCTCACATTGATTTACATTTCACTCCAGTCCTCTGACCAGCAATGCAGATTGACAGTAAATGCAGTTATGTTTGATGGAGAATGCCAGTACTGCCTTCAAGTTCAGTTCAACCAAGTGAAAAAGCTTGCTTCTGAGCACATTCAGTTCACAGTGGCCTTCTTGTCTCTTACTTCTACACAATCTTGTCCTTGCATTCTTGTCATTAGTGTTCTTTTCAGTCTTTTGTATGTCCTGGATGAGTGTCAGCAATGTTTGTTTATTTATTCCATACCTTATGATAACGTCCAAACTTTTTTATTCTTCTCTAAAATGTTACATTTTTCCTGTACTAAAAACTTGCGCGTTTTCTGTCTTCACATACTATATGCAAACACTTTAAATTCTTTGTACACCTGACTGAGGGTAGCTTTAAACAAAACATTGACAAGATATTACTGTCACAAACTGCAGTATAATGATTCTTGGAACTGTACGCATTCTGGCTGACTTGCCTTCTAATTGCATTGCCAGATGACAAATGCAAAAGATCTTAATATTAGTGAAGAAGATAAACTGTATTCTCTGTATTATTCATCTTTAAAATCTAGGATTAATAAAGGGCTAATCCAAGGGGAAACATAATAGATCATTGAAGGTCATAGTGCGGGGGCCGGTTTTTATGGCCCACCCCTTACATACATTACATTAATGTAATGTATGTAAGGGGTATTTGAGTTTATTACTCATTAATGTAATACAGGATAGCTTCATCAGTACATTGACTTCAGCTTCTGTCTGAATGTCTGAAATTTGAGTCTCAGTAAAGACGATGATTTGTTTCCGTCACTTGTTAAAAGCTGTTCTGGTGATCACCAAGCCTCCTCTTCAGTGAGTTTGGGTGTCCTTTCCTCAGGATGTAAGACACTGACCACTTATGTCTAGTTCTTAGTTTAACTCTTTAAGGATGAAGTTCCAATCTTATATGTAGAAAACACTGTGATTTTATTGCAGAGACCAATCTGTTACTCTTGCTTAGGTAAACAGTTACTTTTTTCTTCCAAGAATCATGTGACATGAATATATTCTGTTAGCAGAATGAATTTTTATATGTTAAAGTAAGGTTGGAATCGCACTAAGGAGTCATGACAAGACAGAACTGTTCCAGACACTACCAGTCACGTCTGGCGCAGGAAAATGTGAAAATTAGATGAGGCCCTCTGCACTTACAAAATAAGGCAAATATGTGAGAAACACAACCAGTTATGACTGGTGCTGTCTGGTTCACCTGGCTGTCCCTGTCTCTAATCTAGTCAGAACTGCAACCTCATACAGTAAAGATGGTGGGGTGCAATGCGGAAAAATTAATTTCACTCATGGAAGAGAGGCTGTTGATTTATGATCTTTCCATGAAAAATAAACATAGCATCAGAGGAATTCAAGATGAACTGTGGGCAGAAATGTTGACACAAATGGACATCTCTGGTAAGTATTTTTTATTTATTTTTTCAAGCTTACAGTACAGTTTAACAATGCTTATATGTATAGTGTCACATATATACTGTGATTACAGCAATGCATAGGTTTATGTATAATGATGGGCTTATTTATATTGCTGAGGTACAGATCCAATATTAATATTAAAATCATTCAGTAATTTCATGTGGACATTAAGTGTGGTGGTCAATGGTCTAACATGCCATACAATTCTTGAGTCATCCAAGTCTGCCTGCAATGACTCAAACTATTCATGGATGTCTGGAATAGTACCTTCTTTTTCTCATATTATGAAGTGTGCGCGCACACACAGCCAAAGTGACTATTTCAGCCATCTGGATTAGGTGAGAAAAAAAAAACTTCATATTTCAGGGCTGCCATGTCATTTATGGGGGACTTTATGAACACATGCAAAATCATGAGTAGCAGTCTGGAAGATCCATCATTTGAACATAGCCAGACTGACAGTTTACATGGAGATACTTAACACCTACAGAAGTAATAAAGTTGGAATCAGAGACACCAATCAAATCGCCCAAATCAGTATTTGAAATGCCAAAGCGTAGACCTTATGCTTCAGAAGTGATAGTTGGGCCCATAATCATATGTCTTAAGGCATGAGCTTGATCACATGAACCAGAAGATCCGGATGATCTAACCTTGGATTTCTCGAAATGTTTCACCTGGCAGCATCTCCTCAGAAAACAATTCTGCCACTATAAATTTTCACTAATTGATGTGTATTTGTCATCACTGGTTCAGTTCCATAGTTCTTTTAATTATGGCAGAAATTATTTACATTAATAAATTTTGGATTAATAGTTTACTTCATATTCTTACATTCCTCTTAATTCTCTTCACTACAATTTTGAAAATGAATGATTGATTCTAAATATTCATTTTAAATTATACAGGTAGGATTTATAGTGTGTGGATCAGGTCCATAGTTCTGCACTTCGCAGCAGCTGGTGTGCTGCCTGCTGTGAGGTGCATATAAATTTTGCTGATGAATCAGCATGTCTGATGGCCAGTAACGTTTGAAATGAAGTAGTTACAATTCACAGATCACATGAGGTGTTAAAAATGTTTTCCTTTCTGCACGTAGATATTTTTCACAATTTTTTCGTTCAGAAACACAGGTACAACAGTCCTTACACTTACAGCACACCTGACACCAACTTTCACTGGATGACTTCAGCAGTTGTGTTGCCATTCTTGCACTACTCTTGAGCTAGATGTTTCAGTAATTTTCTAGATGGCCTCTATGACATCTAAGCATGTGATGCTTATGTTTTTTTTTTCGTGCCTATTAAGAATTCTGTTGTTCTAAGTTGTTCACCAAATTGTGAATTGCTTGTCTGCTGGGAACTCTTTCATTGTGAAATTTACATCAAAATTTTTGCCGACACTTTCTAGCAGATCCTATTTCACATGGGTGACATACAGAAATGCATGTTGCTCCAAAGTATACTGCACCATGACGTACCACACTGTGCGCTAACTGTAGCTGAGAAGAAATGGCTAATGGAGCTGATAACTACTGCCTACTGCTGACAAGTCATAAACAAACTCCCATACTGCTCGCTATATGACAATTCCATCAAGTGGTCCACAAGTTAATTACTTCCCTTTGTTTCAAACGTTATTGGCTGTCAGGCATGCTGATTCATCGGCAAAATTTGATGTGCCTTGCAGCAAGTGGCTCACCAGCTGCCATGAAGCACAGAGCTGTGGACCTGGTCCACACACTAAAATTCCTCCCTGTACTTAATTGACTCAACTGGAGCAGGAAACTTACTCAGTGACACTGGAGGTATCTTCTGGAAGAATGCTTGTTCTAAAATTGGTGTCACTTTTCACTGTGATGTCTGCAACAATTAACTGTAAATAGGCGAACGTTTCCGGTTTCATGTAACTAAAATTTTGAAATTTCCTCAACCTGGTGGAGTTAAATCATGAGGCAAGAAATTAAATTCTCCGTATTCTTCCTCTTCATAAGAAGTTGAATCCAGATTTCACTTTCTTCATTGTTGATTCCATTTCTAAAAACTGATAATTGCCATGACACGTTCTTCATCTCTTGATATTTTGTTAACAATTACTGCCCAGCTGACTTGAGGTGTATGTTTACTGCTTGTTCAGTGTGGACAGTACATGCAATTGTGACACTTCATCTTGTCTTGTTGTGACTGCTCAGTCTGCTTCCAGCCTAAGTGGTAAATATGATGATCCCTGTGCTATAAAGAGTTAATGGAGGTGATACATATACAGAGAGTTTTTTAACTTTATTGACTGGTTTACGGCTCTGTGCTTCATGGGGATAGGTGCATACAGATCCAACAGTTCAAATAAATGATGATGTGACTGGGTGAGGTCTGACCTATAAGGAGGGTGGGGCATCAGCTCATCCAACTTCTGTTGTACCTGTAGTGGCGTGCACACTTGCAACAAATCTCACATCTGTAAGGTGGGAAAGTTCATTCTGTTTTGCTGGGCATGTGGCAATGAGGCCACAGTCCATGGAGTCTTGGTGTCAGCTCTCAGCAGTGATGTATATGCTCATCTTTGTGGCAGAATCCCAAATTGCATGCAGTGAAGCCATCACTCAGGGTGTGGCAGCCCTAGAGCTCCATAAGGAGGGAGGTCTGGCTTCTGCACAATCAGCTCCATCTTGAGTTGTTGCTTATTTTGTGTTGTTTTTTTTACTGACATATGTACAGCTTGTCTTATTTAGATTCTGTTAATAGAATATTTAATACGATTACAAGCTTATTACAGGCTTACTGTTTCAAGATTTTTACTGGCCTGTATGTGTATATGGTTTTGCAATGTTTACATTGTCAAAAGCAGTTGGGAACTGAATGGTATATGCCAATGAAGTACTTCAGTAAAGCAGTTAGGGGTTAGAAATGGTTCAGGAAATTCACCTCTTCATTTGAAATGAATTTATAGTAGTTTACAGTTATAGCAGTCCCTCTCTAAAATTGGTTGCATGTTAGTGAACACAGTGAAACTCACTCATAATTAAATTATATTACTGGGAGAGGACAAGTGCAACAGAGAAGCAGTCACACAAGACACAGTAAATAGCACATTCTCAGTACTGGTTTGTCACAGTTAAAATTAATCACCAGATAAACAGTACATTATTGTACTGCCAGAGAAGTTGTCAGTACTTGACACTGATTCAAGAATTAATCCAACTCTTCAGTCATAGACAATATGCATCTTTAACCATTACTCTGCCTTCTACACACTGTAAAACTATATGATTCGCTCCAGATAATGCATATGTTTGTAGCATTATTCATCTGCAGGTAACGAGAGACTTTTTGAATTTTCCAGATTGAGAAGTACGAAATTATGCTTGAATTTAAGAGTATGTATTATGGGACATAAGTCTTTACACTTCATATTGCAGTCTGTATTTAAGGAATGAAAGAGGTGATTTTGAAATGTATTTTGGGATTTAACTTGTATGCTTCATTCTTGTGTGTATGTATTTTTTTTATTGCTAGTGGGGTGGAACTAAGTCCCTTGTACTGTGGCCACTTCTGGCCTATTGTACCAGCCCCAGATGATAGGTGAGGGTGATTGTGGAGCAGTTGGTGGACTGGAGATTGGCAGGGGAAACCGAAGTACTTCAAGAAAACCTGCCCAAGAACCATTTTGTCCACCTCAAATCCCACTTGACCAGACCCGGGATTGAACCCGGGCTGCCACGGTGGGAAGCCAGTGACTCACTGCTTGAGCTATGGCGCAGCCTCTTGTGAGTATGTATGGCCAGTGTCAGTTTACCAAGAGTACTGGATGGGGGAGAAATGAAGAAAAATGCAAAATTCTGACAGGAAAGGAAAATCACTTCTGGAAGATAAGTCATTTACCGTTATTCTGTTGTAAACTCACTATCTTACAATATTTTCACATACAAGTATAATCACTATAGCTTACGTTTGTTAATCACTGCTGAATAATGACTAACTTCAGATTGCATTCTTCTGGAATGTGACACAATATACTGATATATTGGCACAAAGTTAATAGAAAGTCCGTCGAGTGTAACAATTTGTAGGTCACTTTTTATTATTATTTNTCTCAAACTGGTGATATACTCTACAGGTATATGTGGATAAGGGTTTCTTGATTGTAGATGGATTGTCAATATATATCACATGCAGAGCTCTCTCACATTCCTCTGACAAACAAATTAAAAAGGCATAAAGACTGATCTCTTCTCTTTGTCCACTGCCAAGTTCAAAGTGAATCATGGCTTTTTTCTCTGTGACAGGCAGCACACAGAGATAACAAAAGACACACTTCAATCAAAGGAAGCAGCTGACACTATTAGGGATGACTGCAGAAAATCCAGTCAGTTAATTGATTTCAGGTTTTCACAGTGGTGAATATTAAGATCACAGTCTTCTGTGATATGATGCAGTGCAGTCTGGTAGGTAGGTACCAACATTTTAGAGGAACTACTGCATACATCTTCAGAGTAGAAGTGAAGATGGAGCAGAAAGTTTCTCTGAAATTTGTACCAATTTATCAGACTATATTGTGTCACAAGTAGTTACTATAGGATTCTGACGATGGTGTATAACACACTGATATATTGGGTTTTTGGACTTTATCCATCGTCCTCGTTTTTAAGATAACTAATAAAAACACGACGTTTCGGAAACTGGATCTGTTTCCGAAACATCGTGTTTTTATTAGTTATCTTAAAAACCAGGACGATGGATAAAGTCCAAAAACCCAATATATCAGTGTGTTATACACCATCGTCAGAATCCTATAGTAACTACTTGTGACACAATATAGTCTGATAAATTGGTACAAATTTCAGAGAAACTTTCTGCTCCATCTTCACTTCTACTCTGAAGATGTATGCAGTAGTTCCTCTAAAATGTTGGTACCTACCTACCAGACTGCACTGCATCATATCACAGAAGACTGTGATCTTAATATTCACCACTGTGAAAACCTGAAATCAATTAACTGACTGGATTTTCTGCAGTCATCCCTAATAGTGTCAGCTGCTTCCTTTGATTGAAGTGTGTCTTTTGTTATCTCTGTGTGCTGCCTGTCACAGAGAAAAAAGCCATGATTCACTTTGAACTTGGCAGTGGACAAAGAGAAGAGATCAGTCTTTATGCCTTTTTAATTTGTTTGTCAGAGGAATGTGAGAGAGCTCTGCATGTGATATATATTGACAATCCATCTACAATCAAGAAACCCTTATCCACATATACCTGTAGAGTATATCACCAGTTTGAGAAAGCTTTACAAGTGATACTACTGTTAAATTCTAACTGACCTTTGCTCATCCCTGATGTAGAGTGAACAATCAAGTGAAACTTTACTTTGTGTCCATTCCCTAGCAACAAGATGTAAAATGCACAAATATGACTGTAGCATGTCTACAGTTTATTAACTCTGGAAGCATCTTGACATTAATATATTTCCAAATAAATATATACATATATTTCTATGTGCTGTTTTAGCATCAGTGGAGTTACATACAATGACAAATAATTGAAACTTATGCATGGGACTATAAAAATAAATTTGTAAAATAAAAGTAAATATGCATAGAGAAAATAATGTTTATAAAAACAATACTCAAGCAATAGACAACATAATACAGAGAAGCCATATGTGTTTGTGTTACAGTGATCAAACCTATCTGCTTGGCACAGTGTCTCCCAACTTTTGACCTTAGAATTTTTCTAGAGAGCCCAGCATCAAAAGTAAAAGCAGCAATTACAAAATGACATTATATGACCAATATAAAGTTTGTGTGTTTTCACTCGCTTGTCTGTCTTCATTTAGCCCTATGGGTTGAGTTGAGTTGTCACTGAAAGTGGTGCAAGAGAATGATTCGTGTACATTGTATGCTTATTGTAAGCCAGGAATGATCTGTAACAAGAGGTTCAGTAATAATCATCATCATCAGTAATCTGTCAAGACGACAGGTCCACAGTCTCTTCCAAAACAATTCTTCCACTTAATGCGATCTAGAGCTTTCTCCTTCAAATGACAGTATCCTCTTCTGTCCCCAAGGTCATCCAGCATCTTCTTACGTCTTCTTCCTCGTCTTCTTGTCACTTCTATCCGCCCCTCTATCTTTCCTTTGATAACTTTTTTAGAAGGCAGTTTCTGCGTAAAACATGACCAATCCAATTAGCCTTCCGTTTTCTTATTTCGTGTAGGATATTCCTCTGCTCACTGACTCTAATTAACACTTCTTCATTTCTCACATAATCGGTCCAACTGATCT